TCAAGAAATTCGTAGCGCCTTCTTTAAAGGGATCTCAGAAATGCGATGTTATGCCGTTTGTGAGAAAGTAAAGGAGAACTCTAGAAAATAAACCTTGAAGCGTTTGTGGAGACGTGAGTTAGATGCCTCGAGATCCTTGAGGAACTCGGAGTGAGAGTAATCGATGCGACGCTTGAGATCGTCGACTCCGGAAGAGGTGAAGTTTCTGAGGTCGGAGATGTTGCTCGGAGCTGTGTGACTGCGAGGTGGAGATGAGCTGGTGGCCAGAGTAACTTTCTTCGCTCGCTTGGAGGTGGAAGCCGCCCTCGTGAAAATCGCAGGAGAATCCGCCTCCGGTGAAGCAACCGGCGACGGTGTTTTCAGGAGATCTGCCACCGTTGGTTTGGTTTTCTTTCCCGTCCTCTTCATCTCTATTGACACAGTTTCAGATTGATTTTGACATTAAGCGGTTAACTTTGCGCGAGTATTTAAATTTTGAAGTTTATTATTTTTCTTTTTTTGTTTTGAAGTGATTTTTTAAACTCAAGGTGACTAGAAAAGGCGTTAAATAATTTAAATCAAAATTGTTAAACTATTTCTTATATTACTTTGCAAATTTAAATTTTTATTACTGAAAGTTAAATAGCCGCGTTTTCATATAATTTTGAAATGCTTCAATTAGGATTTTATGTTAAATGAAATAAAAACTGCGCAATGAATTATTTGATATATAAATGATATTTTGATATACATAAATTTTTTATATTTATTTTATTATCTTTTTTTATTTTTTATTTATAAAAAATATAAAATTTAATATGTTATGACTATTTTATCTTTATAATATATATCAAATGTGAATGTATATCATCGTATTATTACCTATTTGATAAGAAGAAAAATAATGAAAAACATATCAAGTCATACGATGATATGATATAATGAAAAGATAATTTTGAGAAAGTTGTCTTCTCTCTTTCTTTAATTAATAAACAAATTGTACCGATAGGTTCTCCCAAGTGAGTGGTTAACACAATGTCATCCATCAAGGTCATAATTAACACTCGGTGTCCAAACTAACATGTACCGTTTGGTACTCTCCAGTCATAAATCGAGCGTTTCCCCAGGTGGGCAATCAGGACCGAGCGTCCAGCCATTCAGGAACCGAACATCTGCCCAAGATGACAATCAAGAACGAGCGTCCAGCCATTCATGAATCGAACGTCCGCCCAAGATGGCAATTAGGACCAGGCGTCCGTCCAGTGTGACCAGACAGTAGAACCAGATGGACGCCGACCCAGGTTGACATCCCTGGCCGACCATCCTTCCCAACCGACCCGCACTTTATCGACTACATGGTTAAACGCTAATGACTCATTAAAGCCCTTAACGAAGATTAAGGTGTGATTGGGCCGTTATCAGGCTCACGATAGGTAAAAGCTCATTACAATCAGTATAAATAAAGGTTCCAAGTATGAGTTCCAGACAGATTGCTTAGAACACAACATATGCATGCATTATAGAACGCTCTGTCATATTATTGACTTGAGCGTCGGAGTGCCTTTGACAGGTACCCGACCGCCCAGCTTGGAGTAGGAGGACTACCACTGGGAGCGCATGGGGAGAAACCCGCCCGGCCTCCAACCTAGAGTGTGGAACAGCGTCAGTCCGTCACTGTGTCGTCCGCCACACGCATGCTCGACCTTCTTCAGCTCGTGGGATTCAGAAATGACCGTTCGGTTTGCGTCAGCTTCTAGTGACCCCTGCGCCAGAGCCGCTCAATCCGCTTCAGCTGGAGAGAAAGCGTCTGCCCGGTCCATAGCAGCTTCATTGTTCGTCCGCCAGCCTTTACCGTTCGTGATCGTCCATCCGGTCTTCGCCAAACTTATGTGTTTTAACAGGGTCCTCACGGATTCGGTCGAAACATTTGGCACCCACCGTGGGGCCGAGTGAGTATTCCCCGTTGTAACCATAAGGAACCAGTGAGTGGCACCTCGTAAGAACGTCCACTTACATCGTTCAGCCCTTTGCACTCGGCCTCGTCAACCCGATAACTCAGTCTCCTTCGTTCGGCTGCGGATCCTGAGTCGTTCCGTCGAGACCATTCAACTTTGCGACCTCGTTTCATTAATCATTTGACTCTCCCGCCTCAGTTCTCGGTCAATCGAATCTGGTCGTCTGGCATGAACTCCCGGCCGTTCGAGCTGAACTTCTTGACGTCCAGCCTCAAGTTGTCAGCCATCCGGCCCCAACAAGCTCTCGGTCGTTCGGCCCCATCAAGCTCTCGGCCATCCGGCCTCAGCCAAAGTTGGCGTCCGCCGTCCGGCCATTTGGCCTCCAAGGTATGTGTTCGACCTCTACCACTCGGTCATTCGACCTTAGGTACTTAGCCAAGTTTGGCATCCAGAATCTGGTCGTCCGGCCTAAACTCCCGGTCGTTCAAGCTGAACTTCCGGATGTCCAGCCTCAAGTTGTCAGCCGTCCGGCCCCAACAAGCTCTCGGCCCTCCGGCCCCATCAAGCTCTCGGCCATCCAGCCTCAGCCAAAGTTGGTGTCCGCCGTCCGGCCATTTGGCCTCCAAGGTACGTGTTCGACCTCTACCACTCGGTCATTCGGCCTTAGGTACTTAGCCAAATTTGGCATCCAGAATCTGGTCGTCTGGCCTAAACTCCCGGTCGTTCGAGCTGAACTCTCGGACGTCCCGCCTCAAGCTCTCGGTCGTCCGGACTCAACATGCGCTTGTCCATCCGGCCTCATCAAGCGCTCGGCCATCAGGCCTCAACTCTCGGTCGTCCGCCCTCAGCATACGTTCGTCCATTCGACCTCCCATTAATTTGGCCATTCGGCCTTCCGTACATCCGTTTCGGCCATTCGGCCTTACAGGTGTCCGGTCGTTCGACATCTACTGCTTGGCCTTCTGTGGCCTCAACATCCAGGTATTCGGCCAATCGGCCTCACAAGAGTTCGACCATTTGGCCACACAAGTACTCGACCATCAGGCCTGTCATCCGTCCGAAGATTCTCCAAGAACTCCTGGGCCAGGGATGGTCATTAACGTCTATTGGGAACTTCTCCTGGGCCACGGACCATTATTCTGATAAATGCTCTCTCGAAACAACCATTCTCATCCGAGCATGTTCAACCCACCGGTCTACCTTACACGATATAACCATCTACTTTCTTTAAACTTGAAATTCGATTATATTCCCTTCGTAATTCAGGTAACCCGCAATAATTGCACTAGTGCATATTCGCAAAAAGGGCTCTCCTCAATCATCCCGCATTAAACATAGAAAAAGTCCAAGTTGATGAACGGAGAGTTCCACCGAGAACCACTGTCAACTTGGCCGGACGGTGAACGTAGAGTTCCATCGAGAACCACTGCCGTCCACGCCAAAAGTCCAAGTTGATGAACGGAGAGTTTCACCGGAACCACTGTCAACTTGGTCGGACGGTGAATGTAGAGTTCCACCGAGAACCACTGTCATCCGCGCCAAAAGTCCAAGTTGATGAACGGGGAGTTCCACCGAGAACCACTGTCAACTTGGTCGGACGGTGAACAGAGAGTTCCACCGAGAACCACTGCCGTCCGCGCCAAAATCTAGCATTCGGCCTTAGATACTTAGCCAAATCTGGCATTCAACAATCGACCGTCCGACTATCAAGCCTCAAGTCTCGACCGTCCGCCCTCAACGTTAGCCAGATTTAGCATTCAACATTCGAGCGTCCGGCCTCGAACTCTTGGTCGTTCGTCCCAAGTTGCTCGGCCGTCTGACATCAACCATCCGGCCGTTCGGCCTCCAAGGTACGTGTTGGACCTCTACCATTCGGCCATTCGGCCTTAGGTACTTAGCCAAATCTGGCATTCAACAATCGACCGTCCGGCTATCAAGCCTCAAGTCTCGGTCGTCCGCCCTCAACGTTAGCCAGATTTGGCATTCAACATTCGAGCGTTCGGCCTCAAACTCTTGGTCGTTCGTCCCAAGTTATTCAGTCGTCCGACGTAAAGCGTCCAGCCATTTGGCCTACAAGGTACATAGTCGACCTCCACCGTTCGGCCAAAACTGGACTCAGGAATTCGAGGGCCATCTACAAAACCCCTTCGCATAATAAAATTATGCTCGGGCTTGGGGGGCTTATGTACCGACAGGTCCTCCCAGCATAGACCGAGCGAGCGGTTAACACAATGCCGCCCACCAAGGTCACAATCAAGACCGGGCGTCCAAACTAACATGTACTGACCGGTACTCCCCAGTCATAAACCGAGCGTCCACCCAGGTGGGCAATCAGGACCGAGCGTCCAGCCATTCAGGAACCGAACGTCCGCCCAAGATGGCAATCAAGAACGCGCGTCCAGCTATTCATGAACCGAACGTCCGCCCAAGATGGCAATTAGGACCGAGCGTCCGTCCAGTGTGACCAGAGAGTAGAACCAGATGGACGCCCACCCAGGTTGACATCCCTGGCCAACCATCCTTCCCAATCGACCCGCACTTTGTCGACTACACGGTTAAACGCTAATGACTCATTAAAGCCCTTAACGAAGATTAAGGTGTGATTGGGCCGTTATCAGGCCCATGAAAGGTAAAAGCCCATTACAATCAGTATAAATAAAGGTTCCAGGTATGAGTTCCAGACAGATTGCTTAGAATGCAACATATGCATGCATTATAAAACGCTCTGTCATATTACTGACTTGAGCGTCGGAGTGCCTTTGACAGGTACCCGACCGCCCAGCTTGGAGTAGGAGGACTACCACTGGGAGAGCATGGGGAGAAACCCGCCTGGCCTCCAACCTAGAGCGTGGAACAGCGTCAGTCCGTCACTGTGTCGTCCGCCACACGCATGCCCGGCCTTCTTCAGCTCGTGGGATTCAGAAATGACCGTCCGGTTTGCGTCAGCTTCTAGTGTCCCCTGCGCCAGAGCCGCTCAATCCGCTTCAGCTGGAGAGAAAGCGTCCGCCCGGTCCATAGCAGCTTCATTGTTCGTCCACCAGCCTTTATCGTTCGTGATCGTCCGTCTGGTCTTCAACAAACTTGTGTGTTTTAACAGGATCCTCACGGATTCGGTCGAAACACAAGTAAACCAATTAATGTGATCTCGTTAACAGTGTTAAGTTCATATTCATGTGAATTAAGGTTAAAAGAAGTTTGAGACGAGAAAATACACATAAGAACAAACTCTTTGAATTAAAATGGTGATAAAAAAAGTTCGGATTAATTCATAGACTCATCTATACGAGTTAGTTTCAAAGATTGGATTGGATTCAAAGTTAAGTAGGAGTTCTTTTTTCTATATTCCATAAAATCTCTTCATGTACTCCATTGATGCATTTTACTTTTTATAATACACCAAAATAATTTCGAATATATTTTTTCGAAAGCACTCATCACACCTCTATTATGGATAAAAGCTTTCTAAAGACTATG